AAATCTTACAAGAGTGCAAACTTTTAAATTTATTTTTTCTTTACAATATTCAAAATCGAAATCTTACTTAAGAAAACATAACTTCATCACTCGAACTAACAGACATTGATAAAATGGTATCAATTTGCATTGAGAGAAAATAATTTTTTTTTATTGGGGAAAGATCATTTACATTAGCGTAAAATTAAATTTTTTAATATTTAATTTTGATAGATAAAAAAATAAGAGAAATAAATGAAAATAAAAAAGTTTTAATTTATTCCTTTGGATATATCTATTAAAATTAAGATATAAAAAATATAATTTTTTGTATAAATTAATATACCTTTTTTTATTTAAAACTATTAAAATTAAAAATTTAATATTTTATCAATGCATCACTAATGTTTACAAATCCATTTCTTTTTTCATTAAAACAAAGGATTGAGGCAAAGAAAAAAAAAAGGGGTTTGGTAATGTAGAATTCTGAAAAGACAAAGTGGTCATTGCCAAGTGGCCATGAAAGTGAAATATTATGATCAAATGAATGCATAATTTATGGATACATAAGCTTCCCAATCTTTTAAGTTTTAAGAAATGATAAAGAATTCGAAAACATATATAAAATGTAAAAATTCAAAAAATATAATAATATAATAAATTTAATAAGTTGTATAAATTATTTATTTTTAAAATTGATATTGTTTAACATATATTATCTTGATTTTTATCTCTTTTATTTGAATTTCAAACTATTTATTTGATTATAATAAAAAATAATAGAACATAAATGATCAATTTAATTAAGTTAAAGATTATTCTGTATTTAATACAAAATTTTGAAATTAAGCATAAATGAATCAAATTTCATGTCCAGTCTAAGGTCTAACAGTTGTATCTAACCTTAAATGTAACAAATTTGAATTTACAAAATTTTCTTTCTTTGGACATTTTAACTTTATTAAAATAAAATAGAAAAGAAACAAAGTGAATCAAAGCGCCATGGGCCCATGGGATTTGACAGTGTGTTGTCATATTCAGCTAGAAATTAAAGTCAACAAACCTTCCCTCACCTTATCCACTAAGTTCTACAGGATAAGAAAATCTTAAATTCAGAAGAATCAAAATATACACCTGCCCAAGAAGTAATTATCAAATCTCATCAATAAATTTAATCAATTAAGATTTCTTTTTTAATAAAAAAATTTTAAATTTAAATTTTATCGATATTTCATTTATTAAAATTATTTTAAATATATTATCTATAATTATTTATTTTATATTATTACATACAATATATTTTATTTTAATTTAAAAAATTAAACAACTTACTTATCTTTAAAATTTTTTTACTAAAAAAATTATCAAATCTCACTGAAGTTTTTATCTTTAGTAAGAATAATTTAATAATTTTTTGAACTATTTTTCATATTTGCAGGAATTATTTTTTTTACAAAGTGGATCGTGATTAAAAAATATAAATATTGATATAATATAATATAATTTAAAATAATTATATGAATTAATTAAATCATTATTTATAATCATATTATAAAAATAAATTCCCAAAATTTATGCCAACCGAAGCTCATCAGCCCTCCTCAAAATTAAGTCTCGTTTGTCACAGTTGTAAACCCTATAAATTCTAATCACTTTTCTCATCATCGAACGTACAAGAATTCAACCAAAAGTCAATCATGTATCCCGAAACTTCATCACAAGGAAAATCAGTTCGTTCATCAGAAAATTCGGGAAGAAAGTGATTCCAATATAATGGCTGACGATGTCGAAATTTTGAACGTCCCAAGAGGTTAGGTAGAAATGTACATTGGGGAAGAGAAAAGAATTAAAGGAGTTAATGTTTGAATTCTATTGAAGAATTTGAAACCAAGAGTGATGGACTTATTAAATAGGCTTTCGTGCATGCACTACTTGAGTTATTGGATCACCTATAGACGTTAATAAATTTATGGGTAGTTGTAATTTGTTAACATCTAATTTGACTTTGTCGATAGAAAGAGCCATCAAGGCATATATCTGAGGAATCGAGGATCAATATGACATTTATGTTTTGTTTGGTAGAATGAAAAAGTATAATATATATATATATATATATGCGATAAAGACAAATTTTAACAAAAAGAAAATAAAAAATCACATTTTTTTTATTTACGAAAATAAATTATTCCAAAAATAAAAAAAATACAGTAGAAGTGTTGGTGGAAGATCTATCCACAAGCTGAGTAGTTGTTTGTCTGTTTTGCTAAGCTTCCATATACACAAGCTGAATTTTGGACAAATTTTTTAAAGTTTGGGTTTGATTTGGTCTAATCCGAAATAATATTTTAATATTAATATTTATTTTTTATACTTTACTTTTAAAATATGTTTAAAAATGCTAAAATATTAGAATTAAAATAATTTTAATATTTTAATATTAAATTTAAACTAAATGAATTTAAATAAAATTTTACGAGCGAGTCAGACCTTGGATAAAAGGTTTTTTAAGTGTTAATTGGGCTTGACCCGACTCAAATTCGACACCCTCAAATCCACCCATTTAGGCCCGATAGAATAAAAAGGTACTTTTATAACATAAAAAAATAAAGAAGTATTTTTATATAAAATAAAAAAAATTTCACTCTCGAAAGTCAAAATAGGAGGAAAGAGAGAAAGCTGCCGACCGTTGTTGACGAAGCAGAGGGAAAATGGTGAAAGAGAAAGAGGTCTTTGGCGGCTCTCATTTAGGTTTAGTTTTTGGAGACAAAAACGACCAGGTTCAATTGGCCGCGGTTTTAATACAAAAAACTATGTCGTTTTGGCACATGAAAAATCATAAAAAAAAAAAGGAGGAAATGGAGAATGCTAGAAGTGGGTTGATAAAATCAGTCCAATATTAAGCCCAATCAAGAGCAATTCTAGACTCAGCATTCAAAGTCAAATCCAAACTCAAAAGGATCATAAACCCCGACACCAAATTTAATCCAATATAAAGTTTTTCAATTTATTATTAAATAAAAAATTAAATTTTATGTCAAAAAATTAAAATCTTAAAAAATATATAACAATAAATAATGATATATAAAAGAAAAAAATAAAAAATAAAATCATTTCATAAAAGTTTTTAATTGTTCTACAATTAAAAAAATTTCAAAATCACCGGAATTATATATATATATATATATATATATATATTCCATGCATGGGAATCAACTATAAGAACCTATAAAATTCAACACAAATTAAGAAAAGAATGGGTTTTGAGAGGTGGATGATGGTGTCGTGGCATTGTATGAAGTATACAAATTAACCAAAGAAAACAAAACGACTCGGCGAGGATTTGGCTCGCTCCATTCTTTCTTGTTTCGCTACAATTTTACTTGGGAGAATTCGACATGTATCTAAGTCGAATTTGGCAAAATTTTTGTTAAAGAAAAACAAGAATAGCAGTACACTTGGATCAAACTAGGATCTAAAACTTAAATAGGCTGCTACCATGGTAGCAAGAGGAACAGAGATATTATCATCTACTAGCTTTGTAATTGGAAGAGACTCGACGACTGTTGCCATCAGAGAAATTAAAGCAACCCTATGAATCGTCCAACCCCAATCCAACCGGAAATATCCAAGAACCGAGAAGTAGTAAAGCATCCTAGATGGAACAAGAAAACTTTATCAGCAATGTTAAGAGGAAGGAAAACATATTGAAAAATGTACCAAATTTCTGAAACTAACCCCATAGAAATGAAGAATCCAAAAACAAACATGGATATGCTGCCAACCCAACTCTTACTTTGGTTGTAAGGAAGCTTAGAGGACCCAAATTTTCTTCCCATTATATCAGCGACACCTACAGAATACATCTCAATCGGTAGTTATTATTAATCAAAAGTACGTGTCGCCGAGTCAAAGAATTCGGGCTTCGATTGCAACAATGCAAGGGTTTATATGTGATATTCATTCAATATATACACTTCACTGTCCCTCGATAAATGCTGACTTATGACGTGCAAATAAATTACCAATGTATGAGTTGATAATTTTAAACATGATAAAATAATATAATATTAAAATGATATAAAAACTGTAAAAATAATATGATTTAAAATTTTAATAAAAATAATACGTATGTTAAATAAAAATAAAAATAAAAATAAAAATAAAAATAAAATATGTTTATATTTAAAGTGTTGATATGAATTAATGATATATGTGTGTTTAATGCTGACATAAATTTACAGATCGGCAGATAATGGATCAAACATAAGCTTCATTATTTTCAGCTGCAAAAGCTGTAATTGGGGTCCATTATCAGCAGATGCGTAGAAGTGAGAGTCAGAGAGATAAAATGAGTCATTTTGGTAAAGGAAGGGGAAGAGATTTTACCATCTCCTCCGCACATCATTGCCAAGGAGATGACCCCAGTAGGGGATTCACGCCAAAAGACAAGAGCACATAAGATCAATATCAGAACATAATATAAAGGCCCTCTAAGCAATTCCCTGCAATCATATTGGAAACAATCAACACCAAGAAAATTTTCAATAACTAATTACAAGAAATAATTATATACCATCTTCTGTATATCATGTCAGTCATGAACTTGACAAATCAAAATACAACACGTAATTAAAATTATCATGTAGAGAACATTGTCTAACATTTTTCTTGTTAGTTCAACAAAAAGTTAATGTTATTATTGTTTTATATGTGAAATTATCATGGATTGAATTTTTATGCATAATTTAAGATTTTAGATGTATTGATAAATAAGATTATGATAGAGATAAGATAAGATGATATTATGAAAGAATTAGATACCAAACTAAACCAAAAAATATTATCTTATTGTGTTGATATAAGAAAAGATCTAGGATAAGATAATTTATTTATTGCTCAAAAATTATTCTTTCTTTAAAAATTATGCAATTGTAAATTATTGGGAAAGTAATTTTTAAGTATATAATAATATATATAAGTTCAATCCCATATATTAGAAATAATTATCTTCACTTTAGAAGAATTGAATTATCTTATACCAAAAAGATGATTAATCATTCTTGTAATCCTATCTTTTTCTTTAAATACAAATAAAATATAATATAAAATGATTATAATTTTATTTTATCCATCATTTTATATACTAAACATGACTTTAATATTATAATGTAGCTATTGACAAATACTACTCCTTGCTATAAAGTTTGAAAAAATTATTATACTTAACCAAAATACGATAACATCATAATTTTTTTTAGTATTTAAGGCTGTTATTATTTGAATTGAAATAAGATAAAATTATTAAACTTAACCAAAAATATGATAACATCATAAGACATGTTATTATCTGAATTGAACTAAAAGTTTAGTTTTCTACCAACAATTAAGTCAGCTATTAGCATCCTAATTTTTAATTAATCATATATTCTATCACTCAAGTAATAAATTTTTTTTTTCTGGAAGAAGAATTAATGGGGATAGAAATATTACTTGGGATTTCCTTCTCGGGTAACAGATTTGATCAAGCCTTGATCATCAGCCAATGAGAGACCATGAATAACAAGCCTTAAGCAATTCAAGAGTGGAACCAGAGATGCAAAGTAACGAGCCTCATAGGAGTTACTATTCTAGGGGATCAACAAATCATCAGCTATAATTAATTAATTAAAAATATCTTCCGAATACAGAAATATTAATTAAAAGTTCACCTGAAAATTGGCCAGGAAAGAGCAAAAAGCAACCCAGATAAGATATGCACCAGTTTTCTACTTAAACTCTGTTCAAACAATTAAAAAAATGAATAAAACTTTTAACAGAGAAAAAAAAAAGCTTTTTTTATCCAAAAAGAAAAACCTGTTGAATGAGTTGTTTTTGGGTGAGAGTATCGAAGGTGGAGACGAGAACATAGGCGCCGGCAAGGACAGAAGCGGAGGCCGTGGTATCTTGGAATAGAGAGGCGGTTGCAGCGACAGGAAATTCGGTAGCCCGTCGTGGCACGGGGTAGAGAATATGGAAACGAAGCTGGTTGGTGGTGGGAGGAGAGAGAAAGAAGAAACGGGGACGAGGATAAGAGAGAGAAAGTGCGGTGGAGTGGACGTGGCGGCTGAGGATAGGGTGGATGAAGGTTATGGAGAGACTCATTTTAGCAGAAGAACCGACGAGAGAACAGACAGTGGAGCTTTTTTCTTGAATTTTTTTTACTTCTTTTTGTTTTTATTTTTTATTTTTCATTTATTATTATTATTGAATGGATTTTTTTTTCTTTTTTTGGGATAATTTGGATTGGCTAACCTTAAAAAGTCTATCAAAAACTCTATGAAAGAAAGTGACAAGCTGACTGAAAGATGATGATACGAATTATAACGTCAAAATCCAAATTGGAGCGGACAATCTGTAAAAGTGAGGTCGGTAGAATTTTTGCCTTTTACAGGGCAAAGAGAAACAGAAGATAGCCAAATCATATATGAGAGAAAAGTAAAGAAAGTTACATTTTCGTTTTTTTAAAGACAAATTGATTTGATTCTTTTTGTTTTTCGAAAATAATTTTTACATTTTTTATATAATTAACTAAACATGATTTATTAATTAATAAAAGGTAAAATCATTTTTATAGAAAAGATTAATATCATAAATAATTTTTAAATTATAACAAATATTTAATATGAACTTAAATTTTAAAAATTTTAATATAATATATAAATTATAAATTTATTAATTAATATAATATTTAAAAAATTATTTATTCGTCATGTATCATTATTTGAAACAAATCACATTAAAAATTAGTATTATATTAATTAATAAATTTATAATTTAAGTATCATAATAAAATTTTTAAAATTTAGATATCATATTAAATATTTTATTATAATTTAAAAATTATTCATAATATTAATTTTTATAAAAATTATCATTTTATGCTCCAAAGAGTAAGATAATGTTAGAAAAGAAACTCATTAGAGATAGGACTACTTATCAAAATTTTGAGTTTAATTCTACTTAGGACCTTAAAGGTGATTTTTTTTTAACTCATATTTAATTTGATCCACTCTTAAATATTATTATATTAATAAAAAAATCAATTTTAATTTTGATTAAAATATTAATATTAATATTAAAATTTTTTTAATATTTTAATTTTAACTATTTTTATAGGTGTATTCAAATAGAACGATTAAGTTTAGACTTAATTTGAAATCACCTAAAATATTATTATATTAATAAAAATCATATAAAATAAAATAAAATACAAATTAAAGTGGGAGGTATGGGAGCAAGCAGCACTAGGAACAGAACGATAAGGTCAAGAAACATTTTCCATTTCAAATATGTAAAAAATAAAAAAAAAATTGATTTTTGAGAATCTAAAATAATAATAATAATAATAAAAAAAATATTTCTTCTTTATGGAAATGATGATGCCCTGTTTTTATTGCTTCAAAGGTTTGAGTTTAAGCTTTCAATCCAATAGTTTCTGCCCATCCATAGAAATATGGGTTTGGACTCTGGAGTTTGGATGCCATTTCCCAACTGCTTTTAAAAAAAAAAAAAAAAAACTCAACCGGCCTGTTTATATTGCCTCCAATATGGTTTTGTTTGATTTAACGTTGAATCCAGTTTTTTTTTTTTAAATAATTGTCAAGTGAAATCTTTTAATTTTATAAATGAAATTAAAATATTTATAGATATTTTATATTTTTTAATTATTTTATCTTTTGTTGATGGTCTTTTGAGGTATGAATGAGTTAGACGGTGATTTAGATGTTGTATTGAGGATGACTTGTACCTGTAATAAGAAAGAACGATCAAGGAAACATTGGAATTGGTTTTTTGAGACATTCTGACATTCAAGTCAATTAAATATTAAAATTTGTCTATGTAAAAGGTGAATTGTAGAGAATGCTCAAAGAAGCTTATAAGATAAGGATTTAGAGTTCATATCACACTTAGAACTTTTTTTTTACCTTATATATGAGGTAAAAAATAGTGATTTGATCATAATTGTTAATAATTGATTGTAAAATCATTCAATGAAGTGCCATGTGAATAAGTATGGGTAACGTTTAATAATCTTAAGCCAACATAGATTGTATTTAATAATTTTAAGTAAATTAAAAGTCACTTAACTTATTGTGAGATGATGTCTTGATAAGATATCAGTAGAGATAATTAAATAGAGTCTTTCACGAGTAAAGATGAGTCCATTTTATAGCAATAAGTCTGGAAATCGATTATCTTCAGTGGTGACATAATTGTTGATCACATATTGACTTGATAAGTGTGAAGATTGGCCATACTAATTGATTGAAAAAGTCTAACATCTTTCAATCTTTTACTTTTATATTTATTTAATTAAAAAAAATATTATAAAATTTTTTTAAAATTCGTAATTTTCAACTTTTAGTTTCAATATTATGCTTACAGTAATCATATAGAAGAATTTGGACTTTGGATTTTAATTTTTAAAGATAAAAATTGTTAAGTCTGAATTGCTATTTTATTTTCTAATTTTGTATGTTGAATACGTGAAGTTAAAAAAAAAAAATTGCTAAAGCATAAATGGTTTAGCTTGCCAAAAGAAAAAAGGTTAACCAAAATTTACATACAAAATTTTCAAGTTAAGATAGAACTAGGCTTTGATTTTACTAGAGTTTATTTATTTTGATTTATGTATTCTTATGGCTTAATAAATCAAACCCGAAATTTTATTGATTGATAAAATGCCCTCTTAAATTAAACTTATACATAAATAATTATATTCAAGTTTAGCCCATGAACATTTTTATGAACTGAGCTTTTTCTTTTTTTAACTTACGTGAATTAAATAGATTTGTTCATGGATTAAGCAACTCATCAAACCCGCAAATTTTGGGTCAAAATGATAAGATTTTTTAAGTCTAAATTTGGCTTGACTCATAATATTAATTTAAAATATTAATAAAAAAATATTTTTTGAATTTTTAATATAAACATATTTAAATAGACTAATGGAGACTTTCTTTTTTAAATTATATTCATAATTAAATATTATATCTATATAATAGACTAAATAATCAATTATTACATTATTAAATAATCAACTAATAAATTATAATCAATTAATATAAAATTTAATTAACATAATAAAACTTAAACTTAAGACCTTAAGATTTTAAAATCTCTTCATTACTACTAAGTTTAGATCTCATTGGAAATAAACACCATTTTTAGATTTCAACTATTATGGGCATTTGGTTCGCGAATTCTTAGAATGTGAGGGAAAGTGATTTATGAGGAAAGCGATATTAAAGTAGAATGTGTGATTTTTGAGTTTTGTTAACATAGAGAATATACAATTTTTGTGTTTGGTTCACAAAAATATAAGATTACCTAATAATATTTTTTAGTATATTATTTTTTATAATACGTAAATAACACGTAACATTTATAATACTGATATTTGAATAAGTTATGAATACACTAAATAATCAAATCAATGATGACTAATCATTTGAAAAATATATTGTATTTGATATAATTGTATTATACATACATAAATAATTCTAATTATTTTCCTAATGTTATTGTCCCTATGCAAAAAAAAAAAAACACGTAGATCAACAAATATGTTACATTTTTATTTTTTTATATTTTTAATAAAGACTGTAGTTTTTATATTAGAAAATTTATCTTTTTAATAAAAATTACGTTTTTATATTAGAAATGTCATCTTTATTGAATTCAAAAAATATATATTTTAATGTTTTTAACAAAAATTACTTTTTAATCTTAGAAATATTGCATTTATTTGATTTTGAAAACTATATATTTTTTATATTTTTAACAAAAACTGCATTTTATTATAGAAACATCGTCTTTTCAACAAATGATAAGTTTTTATCTTAGAAAAATCATTTTTATTGAATTATGAAAACTATATTTTTTCATATTTTCAACAAAGATTGCATTTTTAATCTTAGAAACATTATTTTTGTTGAATTTTGAAAAATATATTTTTTCATGTTTTCAACAAATATTATGTTTTAATCTTAGGCTTTGTTTGGTATCCGAAAAATAACTTTATAAAAAAAGTTACTTTCCATGAAAAACCTTTTATGGAAAATAAAATGTTTTTAAGTATTTAGAGAGTTTTATGAAAGATATTTTGCGATGTTTGGATACTATGACCGAAAATGTTTTCTATCAATATTTATCAATATCTTTTTTACAATTTTAACATTTTTCGTTTGTTTTTCATGAATATTACATATTTTAATAGCAATCTTTCATCAAAATTTTTCATGATTTTAACAACAAATTCATCAATATAATATCCATATAAATTCATCAAATCAAAACTCAAACCCATGAAATTCATCAAAATTCAAACTAAAATCCAAAAAAATTCATAACAATTCATGATGCCCATTTCTAATTGATAAAAACCTAAAGCATGACTAGGTGATGTAGCTTCGAATACCTTTTTATAGGTTGCTTTGGAAGCTAAAAATGAAAAGCAAAAGAAAGATTAATGGTGGTTGATGATGAGGATTTGGAGTTTCTTATGGTTTGTTATGAGCAAGAATATGGAAGAGGTGCTGATGTAGAGATTTTGATATAAAGAAAAGGTGAAAAAAGATTCAAAATGATAGAGTCGATTCAAGATTATGATGGTTTTATTAGAAATCTATGGGTTTTATGGTGGAGGTAGATTCGAGGATACGATTTGATTAGGTCAAGTATGATGGGAGATTCATGGGTTTCACGATGATTGTTAAAAAAAATTTAAAAGGAGATGGAAGAATATGGAAGAAAAAATGAGGACTGAGAGCTTTTTATAGTTTGTTGTGAACAAGATGAAAAAATCCTGACTTTACAAAAATTAGTAGAATACCACGTGTTACCGTTGGGATTCAATTTTAAATATATGATAGTAATATAATTTTTCTAAATTTTATATCAATGAACATACTATAATGATGACGAACATATAAACTGTATATGAAATAATAGATGTTTAAAAGCTTAACCAATAGTAAGTAATTCCAACAGAAAAATTATGCATGAATTATGAAATTTAGTTCTGCAAAAGTATTTCAGTTGTACAACACCAAATGCAAATAGTATGAAACTAAATGCATTTAGGGTTATGTTAATCGGAATTAGGGTGTTGCTTATGTTACATGATCCTATATACTTTTCTTTTATTCATGCAAGTATTTAAACAAAACTCACATTAAAAATATAAGCTGAGAACAACTACTATAGTAATTAAAAATATTTTAAAGTAAAAAGCTCATGTCAAAAGCTTATCACAATTTTACAACATATAGCCACATGTTTTGAGCATAGGTTTATTAGTTATTATCTAATAAGCGACAACTTCCCAAATGTAATAAATTTGA